TGTGACTGTCTTCTTGCCTGCATGGTTTGCTAAGAAATCTGACCTTAGTCTTATTAGTTCACCTTTTTAGGTAACTTTTCTTTTTCTTTTTTTTTTTTCTGAGCTGTTCTCAGGATTCTTTCTTTGTCTTTGGGTTTGAAATGTCTGATTACAATATGTCTTGTTATGAATCGGGCTGCGAACCGCAACGTCAGCAGTTCGAAACTACCAGCTGCTCTGTGGGAGAAAGATGAAGCTTTCTACTCCCGTAAGGATTTACAGCTTTGGAAACCCTATTCAGGGTCTCTATGGGTCGGAACCGACTCGACGGCACTTAACAACAACAACAACAACAATTAGCGTTCTTTTACATTTCTTATCAGGTAGTTCTGAGACCTGATGTTGGGCTATAAGAGAAATCCATTAGCCACTTCTAGGAAACCCCATACAGAGACTCTATGAGTTGGAACAGACTTGACTGATGACGCTTAACAACACAACATCAGGTAGTTCCAATACCATTTGTGGTGTTATATTTTCTGATTCTGCACTTTGTCCACTTGTTTGAGGCACTCTGTCTTCTTTGTGTATGCCAAAATTGTCTGTTTTCTCCAAGACATTATGGTGCTGTGTTTATATTTAATTGATTATGTATTGATGTATTCTCAGGTACTCACCACCTGTCTTCTGGCGGATGTGGTAGAGACAAGAAATGAGAACATGGTTCTCTGTTCGTTGTTTGGGTCGTGTAGTTCAGGACAGGTGTAGATGTCTCCAGAAGCAGGGGCAAAATGCCAGGCACCGACTCCAGGGAGAACAGAGGCTGGGAGGAGGTGGTGCCACTGGCCATTGGGTTGGCGAGGACACGACTGGCCACCAGGAGGGCACAAGGTAGAACTGCACAGACCTGGTCCCCATCTCTAGCATATCCTGTGCCTTCAGGCTGCTGTATTAACATCAGCTAGCAAAAGCTCAAGAGGACCGTGCTGTTGCATACCAGTTCCTTTTTCTTCTCTCTCACTGTTCCTGTTCAGCTTCCTCTTTCAGTCAGCACTCATTCCACCTCTCTGTCCTAGTCTCAGATGCTCAGTTTAGGGTTCCAGGACCACCATCTGTATCTCTTTCACTCAGTTCCCCATGTTTTTGTTGCACAGGGTCAGCTCAGTGTTTCTACTTACACCACCATCTTGCCCTGCACCTTCTTGATCCAAGTTTTCACATGAGTGTTTCTGAATGATGAACCCCTCATTCTTTCACTGAATTTTCTGCACTGACCAAGGTGGATTCCTTCCTGGATTTACATCAGTTAGAACCATGGACTGCCATAAGAACAAACAAGTCTGCCTTGGAAGAAGTATAGCCAGAATGCTCCAGAGAAGCGAGGATGTCAAGACTTCATCTCTTGTATTTTGGACATATTATCAGGAGGAACCAGTTCCTGGAGAAGGACCTCATGCTTGGAAAAGTAAAGAGTCAGAGAAAAAGAGAAAGCTGCCCAACAAGATGGATTAACATGGTGGCAACAACAATGGGCTGTAACACAACAGTTGTGAGGGTCCTGTAGGAACAGGCAAAGGTTCATTTTGTTGTGCATAGAGTCCCTATGAGTCAGAGCCCACTTGGTGACACCTAACAACAACAACAACAACAGGAAGAGAGTCCTGTGGTTGTGCGCTGCCCATTGTGTCTCCTATGCTACCCTGCTACCTACTTTGATTCCATCCTGGAGGTCCTTGTTGTACTATTTCCTGACTTGCAAGATCAGCTCTTCCTCTACTCTGACTCTGCACATTAAGCATGCTATCTGCCTTCATTTCAAGTATTAAAATGCCATAATATCCACAATGAAACACACCAATATAGACACAAACAAAAAACACTTTTTCTGGACTAATTCCTCCTCTAGTGGTAGTTTCTTCTCTCTTTTCCCTTCAAAGAATGATTTCCTCGCAGCTCCTCATTCTCCATGACTGACAGTGATTTCCTGGAGACTCTCACTCTGCGCTGGATTCCCTCAAGGACTTCTCCTGCAGAGCTCGCAGCTCCTTTACTGTCCCCCTTTAGTCTTTTCTTCTGCACTAGTGCCAACAGGATTGCTTATGACAACAATTCTATTCTTATCATTTTCCTGCTTATATTCCAACAATCACTTCCAATCATTTTCAAGAGCATATCCACATTTCTCAATGCGTGAGTAATCTGACCGATTTAGCTTAGTTTCCTAACCCACCTTTATCTTCCCTTACTCATTCTAAATTCCAGATACCCTGAGTCATTTCACTTGCAGTTCTCCTCCACTGTGTCCTCAGAACCCTTCATGTGCTTCCAAGTGCTGTTTTGATCCCTTTTCTCTATTTTCTTGCCCAGTAAACATCTATCCTACTAGCTTTAGTTCAAAAAATCTCCTCCTCTATAAGACCTTCTCTGACGCTCACCTCCCTCCATGGCTCGTGAGCCTATCCCTGTGAACTTGCAGTTTAAGCTTCTTGTGAGGAGCACCTGTAGCTTATTTAACCTGATTTTTTTTTTTTTTTTTAAATCATCAGCCCACTTCACAGAACCTGATATGTAAGACACCAAAAGCTAAACTGTGCAGTTAGAGTCCACCCCAACTCTTAGCTACCCAACCATACAGAGCAGAACTGCTCCCTAGGGTTTCAGAGACTGTAAATCTTTACAGAAGCAGGCTGTCTCATTTTTCTCTTGTGGAGGAACTGGTGGGTTCAAACCACCAGCCTTGCAATTAGCAACCCATCGCACTCTCAGAGCTCCCTGCCGCATAATTGTTGTTTGTCGCTAAGTGCTGCTGAGTTGGTTGTGAAACATAGCCAGCCTGTATACAGTTTCAGAGGAGCAGCGGGTGAGTCTGAACTGCCAACCCGGTGGTTCAAATTGACCTTGTGGTCCAGTGCATTATCCTGCAGCTCCGCAATAGGGCTTCACATAATAGGCACTGAAGGAAGATGTGCTTAATTATAATTATTGAATTTTTATTCAGTTCTCTTCTGTTTCCCTCAGTGTAGGATTTATGGGTCTCACTTCTGAATTCCTAGCACCCAGCAAATAAATGCCATGTAATAAAGATGAATATTTCTAAAGCAAGGAAAGAGATTTAAAAAAAAAAAAAAAATTGGAAATGGACAATGGTGATGGTTGTGCATCCTGGGGAGTGTGGTGGTTGTGATTTGGTTGGACATGTAAAAGTGGTTGAAATGGTAAATGTTTTGTTGCATATGTAATGCTACAATAAAATATATAATATATAAATACAATGTCTTTTCATATGCATTGGGAAGTCCATGTTGTAAACAACGAGTGTAATCCTAGAACTGTACATTTAGATTCTAGATGCTTCAGAAAATTATTACTGAAGCCTAGACACAAAAAAGGAAACCCCAAAAGAGAAGCTGAAAACAATACCAAGAAAATGCAAACACTAAAATATGCACATTCTTGCTATTGTATCATGGAGTCTCATAGTGACTCTGTATAGAGTTTCTGAGAAGCGGCTAGTGAGTTTGAACCACCGGCACTGCAGTTCAAACTGGCCTTGCAATCCAGTGCTTATCCTACAGAGCCACACCAGGACGCGATTTATGTTGGTTGTACGGAAAAAATATAGAAGAGCATTGTCATCTGATGACTCAAGGTCTCTAAGATTCAGAAGTAAATTTAAAGACATGTGCAAATGCCTACCAGCCATTAATGTGGTATTTATATAACTTAAGAGAAGATTTTCAAAATGCAACAAAACAAATACTTTCAAATACTGATTATCAAATTTGAGAAATATTAGAAAGAAACAAAGTAAGTGACGGAAGTGCTTCAGAAGTATTACTGAGTGCCAGAGATCAATTTCATGTCACCACATCCCACACTAACATTGACACACTTGAATCTTGTGTGAAAAGATGGGTAAGAGCATAAGAAGTTCTTTCAAATTGATTTTCCTCCTTAAACAATGTGGATATACCTGAGAAAGAACGCAGTAAGGTAGTGAGTAAATAATTGCAGGCTTATCTCAATGACTTAAATGAAACTCTTTACAGAGAAGGGCAACAATTTTTTTTTTCTTAGATGAGAGCTAAGTTCACAGGTTCAGGAAAGACAAATTTTACTTATGTAGGTATCTACGGTTCCATAATAGAAGATACAATACAATTTGTGTTTCTCAAGGTTGATATTGCTTTATGTGGATTCCTAACTTTAATAATTACAAATCACACAAAAGAATGTTCATTTTTTTCTCTGAAGATACTTTAAAACCTTTAGCATACAACAATTCAAAAAAGACTCAATTCATTATCTTTGTTCTATATGTAGATGTCAATCAGAAGCTTAATTGTGATGAAATCACTGAAGAATTTGCAAAGGCAAAGAATAGTTTTGGTATGTTACAGATGAAAGGTCTATGTAAAAATATTATAATTGTATTATAAATATGATAATTTGTTGTAATATTTGTTTCTGAATATTAAATTTTTGATAAATAAGATTACTGTGTTATTACACCATAACTTTATCTGGACTCTTCCTCCTCCAGTCTATCCTGTGTGTTGATGGGTGATGACTTTTCCTGATATTATATAAAGTTACTATGGTATCTCCTCACTCATTGCCATCAAGTGGATTCTGATTCACAGCTAGCCTGCACAAGAGTTTCCAAGACTGTAAACCTTTATTGGTGCAGAAAGCCTTATCTTTCTCCCACAGAGTGCTTGTGGGTTTGAACTGCCAACTTTTTGGTTAGCAGTCAGTAATTATCCTGTAGTACCCACAGGGTTCCTTAGAACCCAGCATAATTCTGAATAAAAATTTGCATTAATCCAGAAGACAATATGAAATGACAATATTTCTATGATAAGAACTATTATAAGATTCTGAAAATTTAGACTGGATTTTTAAAAATGTGTACTGTTGCAAGTATACCTATACATGTACCTATATATATAAATTCATGTGCACACACATCCGAGTAGACAATAGAATATGTATCATGTAGTCAAAAGAAATATGCCAACCTGGATAACAACTTAGCACCGCAGACTTCCTCTGCTAAATTCAAGTCATCCAAGCAGGATCTTCTCAGATTTAGCAAAAAGCTCACTTGGGGAATGCCATCAGATAACTTGGGTTGTGGTACCCTGTGAGTCTGAATAGATCCTTCACTCCTGGACTTAGGGATCTAGAAGAGAAAATTGGGGAAAAAAAGGATGTGTACGCATGATAAATCTAAAGGGTTTTCAAATTAAGTTACTAAAGAAGATAATTTATTCTAATTTATTATTAATCCAACATATTAGCAACATTGCAGAAAACATTAAAGTAGGCATGAAATTTAAAATAAAAGATAAAAAATTCTTATGTAGGAATGAGCATGCAGTTCCTGGGTGGTGCAAATGCTTAAGTGCTTGGCTACTTGAATTGAAAGAATAATACTTGGAATCCATCCAGTGGTGTCTCAGGAAAAAGACCTGGTGCTGTACTTCTGAAAGGTCAAAGCCAATGAAAACTATATGGAGCACAGTTCTATTCTGAAACACATGAGGTCAACAGAAGTTGGAATTGACTCAATGGCAACTGGTTTGATTTGTTTAGCACAGGGAAGGAGAGATACCAACATTTCAAACTGTACATGGCCCATGGTCATTTTTGGGATACTGATACAAAACTTCTTGAGGCCCACCTCTCTGAAGAATCATGATATATAATGTGAGATGATCATACTGACAACTTGGAGTGAAGGAAAGTAGCTGGAAAAACAAAACAAAAATTGCAAATCACTGAAAAAAAGATAACAATTTCAGAAGCATGTCCAGAAATATTTACTACTAACAAGTGTTCAAGAGTAGAGATGCCAGTTTGAAGACTAAAGTGTGCCTCTCCCAAGCCATGGTATTTTCAATAGCTTCATATGCATGTGAAAGTTGGACAGTGAATAAGGAAGACTCTAGAGGAATTGATGCATTTGAGTTATGGTCTTAGAGGAGAATATTAAAGTACCATGACTCCTAAAACAGCAAACTAATCTGTGTTGGAAGAAGTACAGCCAGAATGCTCCTTGGAAGCCAGGATAGTGAGATTTCATCTCTCATACTTTGAACCAGCCCCTGGAGAAGGACATTATGCTTACTAATGTGGAGGGTCAATGAAAAAGAAAAGGAATCCCCAAGGAGGTGGACTGGCACAATGACAGCAGTAATGGGCTCAAGCTTGGCAATGATTGTGAGGATGGTGCAGCACTGGCAGGATTTCATTTTGTTGTGCATGAGTTCCCTATGAATTGGAACCGACACAATGGCACCTAACAACAAGCAAAACACACACCCATTTTCTAACAGTTGTTATTGTGAAATGTATGATTTAACACATTTTTGGTTAAGGCAATAAAGAAGAAAGCCACAAATCTTTCAGTTCTCTTATATTTCTGAAAGCAAGGGCAATTCAAGTACCAAGTGAATAGCTGGTATGTGGACTTCTCAGATAATATCTCAGGTTATGTTTCCTCCAACCTCAGCAATACCTTTTTGCTCCTTTACATTGGATCACAAAGAATGTGAATACAACTAAAAAGTGTAATAAAAACATGAGATCAGAATTGCAGGAAAACGCAATCGTTAGACCAATGGTATTTTGTACATCGAAGCTTTGTCTCATCTTATGGAACTTTTCTCATGCCCGTTCTTTCACCTGGGATGTCATCTGTTCATCACTGGCCACTCACCAACTGCCAAAGACCAAACAAATTCTAACTTTCTTCGAGGCTCAGATAAAAATTCATTGCCCACGGGGCCTTCTCTGGTTAATCTTAGGTCTTAATGACCTTTCCCAAGTCTAAATTTTTGGAACATACCACTACACAATCTATGCTTGATTATATGTTGCCTGATACCTTAATCTTCATTGTCTCATGATTTCTAGCATATGGCCTCAACCAAATCTCTGTATATAGAGATTAGAGTCCCTATTCTTCCTATTTCTTTCCTCACCTCTCTTTCTATTATTCTTACTACTTTATAATATTTTAGACATAAAGTCTAGAAATGTTTTGAATGCATGCATAAACACTTGTCAGACAATATATTTTTCAATTAGATAATGTTTTCAAACACTGACTGATCAAGAGAGCAGGATAAACTACAAAGAAAAGAATTAATAGGAGGAAAATTATGAACATAAATAGTTAGTGAATCCATACTTCTTTGAAGTCTACAAACAAAATAGAACGAATTGAGCAAAGAGTAACATTTAATACTGAGCAAAGTAAACACAATCAAAACTAGCTTTTATTACTACTGCTGTTATGTAAATTTACCCAAATCTAATGATTGCCAATTAATTGTCTATGCCAATTAATTACATTTAAAATAAATATTCTGTAGTGAATTCATAAAAACAAAAACCAATCCTGTTGCCACAAGAAAAAGTAATTTTTAATGAATTTACAAAACATTTCTAGAATCCATGGAAATACTTGCTAAGATTACGATTAAAATAAATATTCAGATTAACAGCAAGTTTCATGAAAAACAGCAATAGGTATTTTACACAGAGTCCCATTCTGCATGTGATTATTTTTCATGGTAGTGGGTGTGAAAAATGAACAGAAACACTAGAAAGGCAATGTGATTTCAAAATGGTTATATTAAAATCTTACATAGAGACGCCATTCTCTCTCAACGTTAAAGTAACAAAAGAGCAGTTGTTTGGCAATATTTCATTATGCTAAAATAAAGAGATAACATTTTGGCTTCAGTGGTAATTTTTGGATTCTAAATTCCATTTAATAATTCACGTAAAGGCAAAATATTAGAGGGTTAAAAAAGGGTTGTTGTTGTTGTTATGTGCTGTGGAGTGGGTTCCTACTCATAATGACCCTGCATAAGGTTTCCAAGGCTGTAAATCTTTACATGAGCAGAAAGCCTCATCTTTCTCACGCAGAACAGCTGGTAGTTTTGAACTGCTGACTGTGAGATTAGCAGCCCGATTCGTAACCACTATACTACCAGATCTTTGATGATAGTACAGCTGTATTCTTAAGTATAGCACTTTTCATGGCCCAATCCTGGGCCAACCTCACCACTGTTGCCATCCTTGAGTCCATCGATGCTGCCATATGGCCAATCCATGTCGTTTGGGGTCTTCCTCTTGTTCTCTGACCCTCCACCTTACCAAACATGATATTCTTCTCAAGTGACTTGTCCCTCCTGACAATATGTCCAAAGTCTGAGAGACGAAGTTTGGCCACCCTGGCCTCCAAGGAGCACTCTGGCTGCACTTCTTCCAACACAGATCTATGGGTTCTATGGGCAGCCCATGGCACTTTTAGTATTCTCCTCCAGCACCATAACTTTGGCATCCCAAAAAACAGTCACCATAATCTCCTGAGTTCACCTCTCTGCCTTGAACTTTCCTTGGAAGATCCCCTTGGAAGCTAATATTTTGATTGACCCTTGGTTGGTGGATCATATTGGTAATGCCAAGACTCATCACAGATTATAATCCATTCCATTACGTTTTCTTCATTAGCTTCAACCTTGATTAAAAAACTGATGGAAAGATCAGCTCTTTGAGTTAGGTGATCTTTGTGCAGCACGGTTGGCACTCATCTTTTATTTTGAAGTTACCTTTACAAGGTTAAGACAAATGTATTATTGAGAGGCTTAGTCTGCAGCCATCCATGAATCCCAGAGACATGTTTAAATAATGTTTTGTTTGGAATAAATTAAGGCATGCATGAACTGGGAACTTAGCAACAGTACTTTTTGACTTTTGCTCCTGTTTGCATATGTTTGCATTTAAAAAATTAATGGAAAAATTATCTCATCTTTTAATTCCATTTTCCAGGAATTTTTAAAAGCTCTTTCATAGTTCATGAGGAATAGACATTTTAAAAAATGAGTAGTAGTGTCCTGGTGTGGCTTTGTAGGTTAAGCACTAGACTAGTATACTTCATTTTTTCCTTTTTTCTTTTTGATACTAGCATCCTAAGTCATTATGGGTCCAGACACCAGACCAGCAGTAAATTTAGCAGAAATGGACCAAAGTGGCTACTTGTTGTTGTTGTTGCTAAGTACTGTTGAATCGGTTCTAACTCATAGCAACCGGTATAGGATTTCCAAAGAGCAGCTGGTGGGTTTGAACCACCGACCTTGTGGTTAGCAGTCTAGCAATGCCACACCATTTATCCAAGTGGCTACTTAGCCCTGTCTTGTTTAGGCAAGAGTACCCAATGCCTCTAGGAGGTTCTGCCAAACTCTGCTGGGTAAGGACTCAATCTAGGGAGATAGGGCAGAGAGTCTACATAAGTAACAGGGAATTTGTCTACAGAGACCAGCTATAGCCTCCCTTATAATGGGTGACTACAACAGAAAAATCGTCAAGGGTTTGGGATATTTTCTCTTTCCACTGGAGACATATTTGACAATCATTATTGCACATCATATTTCAATTCTTTATTTTAGTCATTTCATTATTATAACTTTTGTATTTGAAGGTTAAAGTTATAAAAGCCCTCCATCCACGTATGAAAAACACTTTGCTCATCAGAATTCTGCCACTGGCTATTTAAGATAAGGACCTAAGCACTTGCTATGTGATTTATGTGTATAACTAAAATACAAACAATTCCAAGAATCTTAAAAAAGAAAGCATTTCACACATGTATTTGCAGGTATGAAATAGCCAAAGTGTTTAGGATCAGACAGGAGTAGAAACATAAAAATGTCTTTTAAGAATGCAATATTAGAAAGTATTCTCTTAAATGCCGCTCTTGTTACTGTTAAATAAGCATGCATTGAGTATTTTGTGCCAAGTTCCAAGAGAATTAAATAAATTAACTACATTAATTCTCACAACACCTCAACATCAGGGACTACTATTATTACAATTTCACAGATGAAGAAACTAAGAAATAAAGAGTTTCTTTGGCCAGTGACTAAGTGGCAGAGCTACAGTTAGAACACAGTGCTTGAACTCAACCATTATCTACATATCTGTTGTTGTTGTTACTAAGTGCCATTGATTCTGTTCTGATCCACAGCGACCCTGCATAGGGTTTCCAAGGAGCGGCTGGTGAACTTGAACTGTCAACCTTGCAGTTCAAACCGACTTTGCAGTCCAGTGCATTAACCCACAGTGCCACACCAGAACTCCATCTCTATATCTGATGACATGTTAAACATT